CCCTATTATAGTGGAAAATTTCTGCATCTCACCCTGGAATATATATATATATATATATATGTTTGTATACTTGTACGGCAAAAGATCTATTATTCGGTTATTGACTTCTGACTTCAAAACTATCATGACCCCATTGCATGTCGAATTCGACCCTTTCAACAGCACTAATCTTACTTTTTCTCGGCATTTGCGTCTGTTTGTCTCCACATCACTTTTCTTCCCCCCCCCCACCTCGCGAATTTTTCTCACTTTTCTGCATAGGGGTGTGCGATAGACTTACCTCCACTTGGTGTACCCTGGACAACGGTTACTCATACGGCAAAAACTCTATAAACCGAGAGTTGATTTCCGACTTCTAACAACTATGACCCGACACTATGTCATATAACCCCATTCACAGTACCCATCTTACCTTTTCATTACCTTTGTGTCTGTCTGTCTGTCTCTCTTACATCTGTGAATCACTCTTCTGTCCCTCCTCTCGAATTTTTTCCACCTTTATATTTCTCTTCTCGGTGAAGCCCGAAGTCAGCTAAAGGGCTAATGAAAAATGCCAAAACGTCTGCCATTTTAAATAAATATAAAAAACATTTGTACAGATAAACAACGAAAGAATAAATCGTTTTTCAATGATTAAATAATTCAGATAACTTTCTCATCAGGAGAGATAAGGTAGTAGTAGTAGTTTTTCATCCCAGTTTGCTCAGAAGATTCTAGTAAAGCAATTTTTTTAATTTTATCAAATATTCTTAAAACGAAGAAGTGAAAAGTTATATTTGCATTACACAGGAAATGGATAGGATATAGATTAACACTAAATCACCTTTCACTTTAATTTATTTGTCAATAGTGAGAAGAGAATTTTTTGCTATTTTAATATTTTAGTGCCGATGGAATATTTAATTTTCTGATATATTGTATTTGGCTTTGTATCATGACATTTTTAAGTTGCAAAGAAAATTTTAAGAAAAATTCTTAATACAGAGGCCGTGGTTAATCGAAATTAAACCAAAGGTAATAATCGTTCATTCTTTTTAATGTATTGGTTTATAATTTTAAAACCATAAAATTTTTAATTTAGAAATAAAGTCGTGTTGTTGCCTTCGAAGTGGGTTGGCAATGTAAAATTTTAAATGAAGATATTTTGTTTACCAAATTTTTGTGTATTTCTACATTTCTCAACGGTACATATTTGCTTATTGTTAATGCCTTAGACAAATGCATATAGGCCTAAATATCTGCCGTTAGATTAGTCTGCTCCTTCATATATAAATGCCATTTATCAGCTGTAATTTTAAAATTCTTTGAGTCAAATATTTTAAAGATAACTTCGTGATATTCTATTCTTCTTTAGAATTATATATAGGACAGTAAATATTGCTATAGAAGTACTTACTTCCGGTAACTCTTATAGAGAGGTGGCATTGACCTTGGCGATTTGAATTTAGGCAAATTGATTTTTGGACTTAACTTTAGATTAATTTTCAATTGTTATTACCCATTTCAAGGCTCGTTGAAAAATAATATTGTGATTATTAAGAAAATGTCGAGTTTTATTAATGTTCGACTATTGAGGGCATTTGAACTGCGTTTGAATTTTTTGAAAAATGTTTAAATTTATATGCTGTGTTATGGTTTATTTAATTTTATAATAAACAGCAAACCATTGAAAAGCTAATCAGTTAATGTTTTTCTTTTTTGAGCACGCAGTTTGGAATAAATGAAGACCAATCGATTTAAACGCAATTGTGCATAGTTTTATCTCATTGATTAATTTTTATAGGTCCTCATTTTTTCCAAATTACTAGTATCTCTTTGAAAAATGTTTATTTTCAGTTGGTTAATCAAATGGATAAAAATGAAATGTCTTATTTATGAGTTAATTTCTCTCCAGTTTTCTATTTCAGCTACGGCATATTCAAACTTTTAATAGATAAATCATAAAATGGTCTAAACGTTTCAAGAAGAGATGCTTTTATTTAGATTGAAGATGAGGATTTCTGTAGGGAAAGGCAATTTCATAGCGTTTTAGTCAATACAGAATAATTACTTCCGCTGTAATCTTTCGCTAGGCTTAATGTTATGTCAATAAGAGGCTGTTCAGATATTTAAGTCGGGTTTCAGGTGCTGATATTCGGCAAACATACATATATTTATACGTGGCATGCATTAAAGAGAAAGGAATTTTTAAATTTCGCGGTATTTGTAAATTTCAAATGACAGACGTTTTGATAGTTATCATTAGCTTTTTAGCTGACTTCGGGCTTCACAGAAGGTAAGAGGAAAATAAAAGTGAGTAAGAGTCAAGAGGAGGAAGAGAAGAGTTATTCACAAATGTAAAAGGGACAGACGGATACAATGGTAGAAAATAAGTAAGATAAGTACTGTGGAAGGGGTCAAATATGACATACATTGGGGTGATGGTAGTTTGAAGTCAGAAGTCAACTGCAAGTTAATGGACTTTTTTCCGTATGAGTATACTTTGCTCAGGGTGCACCACGGGGTAAAATTGCATATAATTAATTTCTTGCCGTAATAAATAAATTGAATAGATATATCATAATAAATTATTTTAATCTAACAATCTGTAATACTATTTACTTTAAATCTCATTGATTCATGAAGTGTTTTGACTGGAATAATAATACTCGAAATTAAAAGTGAATTGAATTCTGTCATAATGTTGACAGTCAAAAAATATTGGTACTTTTAATATGAATTTATTATTTCAGGACACCTGGTTCTTTCAAACATATTTTTATGAAATATGAGCAACTTCATGATATTCCAAAATCTTAAAACAAAACTTGTTGAACAAATTTTGTATCCTGTGTACTTTAAAAGTGCAAAAGTGATTTATTGTTTTTCCTAAGTGCTTGCAAATGAAGGAATTTTGTGTTTAACTTTTACTTTTATGCATCGCACCTTTTAATGCGTCCCCGTTGCTTTTACCGTTCAATTAATTAATTATATGATTTCAAAAAATTTAAAGCATAGAAAAATTTAATAAATTTTTTGAATTCATTACGTGAAACGGAAAAGATCATTTCTAATTATTTTTATTACATATTTCTGCGTGCAGGGAAAAACTGAATTCGCTTAATGAAACCGGTGAATCGTAAATTTACGCCCCACTTAACTTGTATTTTTCTGTTAAATTAAGAAAAAAATATATGAATATGTTACAACATATCTTTACAAGGCGAAAATTATTTTAAAAATATATTTGTTATTTTCTTCACATATATCACCATTTTGTTATTTGCTGACAATGCCTAGTTTAAAATGATCAAACTCAAAAGAATAACTTAGAAAAATTAATGATTTACTTTAAAGGTGAGAGAATTCTCATTGATGTGCCTATTAATAAACAAAGTTTAGGAAACCTGAATTCTAAAAACTATTATATGAAATGTGCGCATATAACAAAAAAGGCAATTTATAAGGATTTCCATTATCTTAAAAAGCAAATAAGAGAAGATAAAATATGTTTTCCTTGAAATAACACTGAAGTAAAACAAGTGTGTAAATATACTTTTTAAGAGTAAGCATGACCATAAATTATTTTAATGTTAAACGAAATTCTTTATATTTTATTAAAAATGATATGTCAAAAAATTGAAAAGAAGGATGTCCTTCTTTATAAATTAAGTTATAATTGATAGAGATAATCCTGAGTAAAATTCTCAAAATTTTTAAATTTCAGAGTTAAACCTTGATTTCAAAATTTTTATTTTATTCCAAATTTAGATCTATATAACTTTCAGTTTAATTACATCGAAATGTGTATTTAACCTGCTTTATTTGAATGGTTATATTTGCAAACTTAAATTTTTAGAGTTTTGGTATATTTTATCTTATTTGAAGCAATCTGTAAAATGCAAACAGAGGCTGCTTCATTTAACACGCCATTTCGTTAATTGGATTTCGGAACTTTTGGGAGGCCATTTAACTCACCAAAGCACGCAACGGATTTTGTTATATTAGTGCTTTGATTTCATCCAAGCTTACAGGCAACTCAAACTATTAAACCGAGTAAAATTTGAAGTAATATGCCACTGCAGGTTATATCTGTTTCAATTAAATAATAAAAAGCTTTGACAAAAATAGAAATTTGCTTTTAGTTTGATTAAATTGAAAATAGAGATATTAATCTATACAAGGTTTACCTGTAAATTGTCTTTTAATTTCAGATAAAATATCAGAAACTATGCAGTCAGTTTAGGCATGATTCCAACATGCGCCACTAACTCTTCCAATGTCACGGATTGGTAGCCATTGTGGGACACGAAATTGCAGAAACAATCTACCTCAGTCAGACATATTTAAAAACTATTTTTTCGCCATTTTGTGTTTCGGTCTAAACTGTTTAGTGATACTGTTACCTTTCAAGTCCGTTTAATAATCAACAAAATTAGGCCAATTTTGCTATAAATTAATTTATTTCCAATGTCACATCAAGTGCATGAGTGATTTGAATTTAGAAATTTTCTCCTATTAAAAATGGTTCTAACAATAATAATTGACAAGTGAAATTCATTTACACAAAATGCAAATTTAAAAAATTAAAACTTAAGTTCATCATGTTTTTAGAGCTAATTCAGATGTCCACCTATCAAATCAGGTGTCAATAAGCTGGTGGAATAAATTCACCGGAGAAATCTAGTAGATCTTGCTGAGATTAAAATCTGTTTTCTTCTAAGCGATAATTCTTATGTTAAAAGTGGTATTGAAAAATTTAAAATCATTTTTAGTAAAATGACTTCCTAAAAATACTTTAAAATTCTCTTTAAGGAAAAAATTCGCTAAGTTTTTAAAATACTTGACGAAATTGAAAATTTTTAAAATGTGAAAATATTTAGTTTGAATGCAGAAATAAGTCTGCTCGTTCATTGGCTACTTAGTTTTTTCCCAACCAATCTGATTGGCTTAAGGTTATAACTGGCTGAATGTTTACCAAGTAGTGAAACAGTAACTGGGTTTCAAAATCCATCCACCAAATGTCCTCAAAAGCTTCTGTTATTCGAGAAGAATCTCCGCCTCGCATAGAAGCCATTGTCGGTAGGAAAAATTTCAATAAATAAAAAAATTGGCATTAATTCCCTAAAACGCATTACTTTGCAAAAATATAATAATATAAATTCATAAGGTATGTATAGGCATGGAACAAATTGACTTCGTACGTGATGGATTATCGAAGCAACGAGAAATTTATGCTTTATTTTATATTTCAAACTATATAGAATTGATATTTATTGAATAGTTGTTTATGAATAATAATGAAATTGTGTAGCTTTTTTAGAAGTGGAAGCAACGCTTTTTAAATAAAAGCCACAATTTTTATTGCTAAATTATTATTCAATATTATATCTTAAATTACATTATTTTAAATCAAATCTTCATATAAACTTGTTCACTTTATCGAAACATATTTATATTTCTCCCTTGTCTCGAAAAAATATATATATGCATCGCTCGTTTCGTCTTAATTTTAAGGAATTTTGATGTTCTGAAAAATTAATCATGTGTAATTTTGTGCGTACCAAATACCTGCAATAAGATTTATTCGTTCACCCTCCATTAGATCCAACCCCTTCCAAGGCAGTACCCTTGGTGATCTGCGGTCCCTCTGGATCTGGCAAAAGCAGCATAATAAAACGCCTGCTTCTGCGAAATCCAAATATCTTTCAAGTTTGCATTTCACGTATATCAAAACTTGTGGAATTCCATCTTTATTTATTATAATATCATGAGAATTATTTTTACCCGTTTACTTTTTATAATTCAATTTTAGACACAACACGTCCAAGAAGACCAAATGAGATTGAAGGAAAAGGTATTCTAAATAGCCATATTGAAATTTCAAATTTAAGTTTATCTATAAATTAATTGCCAAGTACCATTCTTTTTTTGTCATACTTCAGATTATATATTTGTTACAAAGGAGGAATTCCAGGAGGCAATTACGAGAAATGAATTTGTGGAATATGCCATATTTTCGGGGAACTACTATGGAACAAGGTTCGTAAACAGAATTTATTTAATGAAACTGAAATACGCCATTTCCTGTCTTTTAACATTGAAAATCAATGGAGTTCCTACTTTATAATAATTGAACTAAAACTTTTTTCATTCATAATAAAATAGATTTTTAAAGTGATCCTCTCATTTGATGGCGTTATTTTGACTGTATTTTTATTTATTCAAACAAACAATATTGTTATTTAAGTATGAAGAAATATAAAATATATATGTATATAACCGTAATTAACGGATCATAAATTTTTGTTTCGGACATAGAAATTAGGTCTTCATAAAAATTTTTTACATGTTGATTTATAATTTTTGAGCAATTTTCTTAGAAACTAACTTTATTGATTAATATAGGGGTACTGTTTAAATTTTACAAAGCTATAGTTACTGATTTGTAAGAGTTTTAACGAAACAAATGGAAAAGACAAACCTTTTTCGACAGCTTACAAAAAACATTTATATGCTCTGCAAAGGAAAACTCAGCAGTCATTGCCTACTTTTGATGGCAGAATGCGAAACCGCGCAATTTTTCGCAAACTTTGCTAAAATTTTGAATGCATCCGTCGTATTATTGCTACCCAAACTTTTAAATAGAAATTTCAGCACTGGAATTTATTCTTAACTGAAAGTGAATTAGTTCCTTGCTGTCTACACGAAGAAACGCCTATCATACTTGTGAGATAATTAAACATGATAATTAGATATTTTATGTTTCGCAAAAACATTTTGATCCCATTTTCTTTTTTGTCTGAAATTACATGCAGGAGGCAACATAATACGTATATTTCAACAAAAAAATTATTTGCTAGCTTTATTATTTTCACGCAACATATTTTTTTTCAAATATATATTCAAAGAATTTGAAAAACATTTCAACTCATTAACACATTCATTTTGTGAATAAATAATGACTCCAATTTTAGAATGTCTTAGTTCTGTTCTTTTTAGCCTAATTCTAAGTAGTTCTGTGACTCATTTTCTTTCGTTTATAAGCACAAAAGCCATAATTAAATATGCATACAAACATTTAGAATTGAGTTGAAAATTTTTTAAACATAAAATAACATTTTATAGAGCATAAGTCAATTTTTTGGACATTATAAAAATGCCACTTTACAACCGACACCCCAAGTTAAAAATATATTAATATTTATCTGTAAAATTTAGTGCCAAACTGTCATTTGTATTGGAGATTAAGGAAAAATACAAATGATTGTAATAACGCCTAACATTGTCCAATAATCGGTTGATAATTTAATAAATTTGTTTCTAAATAACTTATTATAAAATATCTATAAATTCACGAATAAAAGGCTGGAAATTGATATTTTTCGAAACCCCGCTATTATGCTTCTTTTAACCCTTTCCTACACTTAGAATTTTCGTAATTATACGGTAAATATTCCAATGACTATTTGTAACGTTTAGTGATGTTCTCCATAACCATCTCTTGAATAATTGCTTTTACCATGGTTTAAAATACTTCACTAAGTAGAAAAACGTTAACATGTTTTAAATATGCTACCACCCACAGTTTCTCCTTAGTATCATCTTATGTGAATTAAGATGCCGCTTATTTCTTGTGCGTGATTTCCCATTCAAATCAGAAATCACGAATATAATATTTGGCAATTAGAGTAATAAAAATTTTTAAAACAATGCAGATCTTGATGAAAGAATATATGAAGTATTAAAATGATCATTTTGTTCTTTACGTTAAATAAAGAGATTTTATCACGCGTCTTATTAAGTTATAAAATAACAATCAACGTCTCAAATATTTTCTATTGCTTAATTTAAAACTCGCTACTTATTGTTGTTCAAATATGAAATCATCCAAATAAAACTGAAAATGTTAGCAGGCACAATTAGTTTAAAAATGGTATACAATATGGTATACTAAAAAACTCCTAAAATGGTATACAATAATTGAGATTTAATAGCGCTGATTACGGGAAGAAATTGGCATGTTAAAGCGAATTCTGAAATTTGCTTTTGGCAATACTGGATCTATCTTGTATTAGTATTCCCTATTTCATTTCAGCAAAGCTCAAATGGAAAAGGTAATCCAAGCAGGAAAAGTGTGCATATTCGAGTTGGATACCCAGGGTGTTGAACAGATTAGGAAAATGGAAATTCACCCTATTTGTGTGTTTATTCGGCCCCGAAATTACGCTATTTTGGTAAGATAAAATCATTATTTTTTATGACTGAAACTAAAAAATAGAATTGACGTATGGAAATTTAATATTGCACAATCAATTTCTGGTTATCTGAATTATGGTTTGCTTTGCTTATTTGATTCGGTGATTGATTTGATGCAGCTATTTTTAACTCGTCGTAAGTGCTTGGAAATCGAGTCTAATATTATTTAAATTAGCCATTGTTTAAAATGTAAAATTTTCTGATAATTATGCCCGAATAAAGGATAATGTACAATAATAATGAAATGGGAAATAGTAAGATCAGCTATGCAAACCATCTCTAAAAGTCATATGAAGAAGACAATTCCAACTTGTTAAATAAATAAATAAATTGAAAAGCATATTGGAATTCATAGACGAAAGTGTTCTACAAATTATGATTATCGAAATGTTGCTCACGCATTTTCTCTTGGTCAATTTAAGTAAAGCGGTTACTTAGAATCTCCTAAGAGCACTTATATCCAACTTGTTCATTGAGCTGAAAAAAGTAATTTCAAAGTTGAGTCAATTCAGTTTTACTGTATCTATTCATCCACATATTTATACTGCAAAATTATTACACTTAATATCTAAGTTGCACAAAGTTGGCCAAGAGGTCGACTGGAAAATTTAATCCACTGTCAAATTATTAAATAAGAAAGATTTTAATGAAAAACTAATGGATTATGTCAAAAAGCTTATATTCTCGACATACAATAATGAGAAAATGCGCTTTGCAATGGACATTTAGGGTGAACAACTTTTACTCAAGTTAACGACAGCCTGAAATGTACCGAACGAATTCGAAGTGCAAAATAAGTCAACAAAAAGAGCATAAATTGCAAATGGATTTATTTCGACATTAATTAAGAGCTTTTATATTAAGTAGGTTAGTATCATAATTCAATCGATATAGTTAAATTGCTTATAAGGGAGAGTATTGCGAAGCTAAAGTTGAGATTTTGTGATAGGAGGGTTTTTGAATAAAAGTACATGCACTAGAATGGAAAAGGTAGCCTGAAAATTTCTACTCACAAGCAAAATTTTAATTTCGTTTGGATTGTCATTTGTATTAGCCTAAAACCAATTTGGTTGGTCGCTCTTGTACACTAACCAATCGAATATTTTTCATGCCAAGTGCAGATCCGACTCTACCGACTCTGGGCATTGCATACACCGCGTTCTGCGGGTTGTCTGCAAGAATCGAATTATATTTGCTTGGGAAAAGATTTTAGTAAGAAGCATTTTACATAATTTTTTTCCAAATTTTTAATTTAATATGCTACAATAGGATAATAAACTCATAAATTTAAAAGCTCAGTAGCTGTGTTCCATTAATTATATTACGATATGTCCATCGAAGTTTTATGCTATGACTGTTACTTTAAGGAAATAATGATAACTATTTTATTGATGAAAAATTTGATTGATGAAATGAAACCATTGTGAAGTGCAGCATCTTCTTGTTTTTGGAAATGTCCACACCAAATGACTGATCGCCATTTCGTTAATTGCCTTCAAGTAATTTATTTGGCAAGTGGTCATTAAATGCGTCTAAATTTGTTTACAAAAGACTGATAAAAAACATCATTTATAAATGAACATTAATCTAAATATAGGTTGATGTCAGACTCTTGAAAATCCTACCGACAGCGGAAACCTGATTTGATTATTATATGCAAATTCGGTTAGATTTTACAACAGGCCTTCTTAATTAAGGATTTTTTATGTAAATGAAAGCTGAATACGCAAATATTTGAGAAAAAGACAACTATACTTTTCACTTAAACTTTTGATCATGATTGAATGAAGATGGAAATAAGTGAGAAAAAATTAATTGACTTCCAGAATCTTTAATGGTTTCCACATCAAGTAACATTGATCCACGAACCAATCTTTAACTGAAAGGAAAATTAATTCTGTTAATAAAATTAGAATTAACCGATTTGGAAAAGGTTGTGGAATTCAATGAAAATGTTGGATTTTGATTTTCTAAATGATTACGAATTTGGTATCAACGTACGCTTTAAAGTTTGATGTGCTCAAAAGTATAAAAGGTGAAAATTGTATGAAAAATTAAAATAATGAAAACTTAGCATTCATAAATCTTTTTTATTTATTTAAATTAAAAATATTAAAGTTCAAAAATTAAAATTCTTAGTTGGGAGTATCAGTGTGAAAGCAACAATTTCGGGTATCAGAAAGACGTCAGTGATTCGACCCCAAAATAAAAACTTTATTACAATTTTCCTAAAATTGAGATGTCAACATAATTTCTATATATCTACACCAACGGAGCTTAAAATTTCATATTTTTCTAGGAGTAAAATGTTTCACATCAAATATATATTTAAAATATTAATCTCCAGGAAAAGAGGCTTCGAACTCACTCTGTTGAATCCGAGGAACACATTCTTCAACGGCTTGCAATTGCCCATCATGAAATGCAGTATGGTAGGTTTTACGTTGCCTAAATATCAGGCATTAAAGAAGGAATATTTAAATAAAGTTAAATTTTAAATTATTTAGCTTTGGATGAAGAAATTTTTCACAAAGTTGTAACAAATGAGAATCTAGACGCTGCCGTTAGGGAGATAGAATTTCTCCTCCAACAGGTAGGTGTGCATATTTATACTAATTAATTGCACGTTTTGAGAATGAAAAGAAACCTGGGTTTATTGTTTGAAATAGCGAAATATTATCATATAGTGATTTTTAATCATTATTCAATAGGTCATTTAGAAAATGTTTCATACTCATATTTAATGATAATATCATTTATTCGAATTTATTAATTTCAAATGGCAAGTGCTTTGTTTGTTATCATTAGCCCTTTAGTTGAATTCAGGCTTCACAGAGGGGAGGAGGAACATCAAAGTGAGTAAGAGTCGAGAGGGGAAAGAGAAGAGTTATTCACAAATGTAAAAGGGGCAGACAGACACAAGGGCAAAGAAAAGGTAAGATGAGTACTGTGAGAGGGATCGAATACGATATAGGGTGGGGTCACGGTAGTTTGAAGTCAGAAGTCAACTGCCAGTTTATAGCTTTTTTTGCCGTATGAGTTTACATAGCTCAGGGCCCTTCACGTGGATGTAAGACTATCGCACACCCCTTATTCACAGTTATAGTTGAATGTTTAATAAGCAGCATCATACATGAAGTGATTAATATTTGGAAGATTTGAGGATTTTACTTTGCGCAATGGAAAGTCTTTGAATGATAGTCACTATATAATGGAACCTATGTTATTAACTCATTTGATCAGCAATATTCACTGATTTTATGATTCATACTTGTCAATCTAACAGTAACGCGTTTTACGATTTGAATTGAATAGTCTGAAAAAATTTAATGTTTTTGGTTCATAATTCAAAAATATATTATTGTCTTCAGTGGCACCCACTCATTTCCCTTTTTATATTTGAAATTTAAAGTTTTGTAAATTTAAGGGAAATATAAATTTTATGAGGCACATTTAGATAGCATCTCGATCAAAATCATTTTCACCCCATCCGTTTCCTCCTTCGAAAGTCATAGACGTTTAATCTCCTAATTACTGACGAGACAGTTGAGTCAAAGTCGGGTTGGTAAACGCGATTACATTTCAATTTTATTTTAGGATGAACGCCTGCATTACCTTTTCAATAATCAGTGGAGAGGGAACCAATGAATTATCAAGAACGGACTCAAATACACTTTAACTTAATAATTAGAATATATTGTAAATAAAAAGGGCTAAAATGACATTTTCTTCTATTAATTTTAATGCTATTTCAATCCAATTTATATCTCTTTAATGGGAGCGCATGTGAATTTTAAATATATATAAAAAAACAGATGAATGAATTGATAACTATTTCAGTGAAAATACCGACATTAAGAAAGTGTAATTAAACAATAATTTTCCTATTGGCATTAGTAATATGACACCTAAGTGACTCAATATTGATACTTTTTTATCTCTAACATAATATATTACTCTAAGATACAATTTCTAGTTGGTATAGCGAAAACTAATACCACTTCAAATCTAACTCTGTTCGGTATAAATAACTCAACATTAAACATTAATAGCTATTTTCATTATTAATGATAGAAAGTATAGTGGTAATATTACTTTTACCTTGGAAAATGGCTATGTAATCATATTTACTTTTTCGTCGTTTGACTTTACATTGAGAGAAATGACTGCCTAATTCTCAGAATTATACTTTAAATGCTTTCTTTATGCGAACGGCGTGGTAATTACACCTCTACAATAACCTCTTTATGACTCAATCGCCCAAACAACCACCTGTCTTATCTAGAAGCGTCTATAGAGACTCAATTTCCTACGAATCTTCAATTTCATCTTAAAATCTCTATCTACTTTCATACTTGCTTTCGCATCTTATAGTGACATCTACAAATAGTATTTGCACTCCTTCAAACCAACATTCACTCCATCAATTCTTAGATGTGATTTCCAAATCACCTTTAAAATTCGTTAAGTTTTAAATCAGTGACCTCTGTTGTCGTTACTTCAACAAAATTATATGAAGGAAAGTGGAACGGAGAAAGCTTCAATTATGAACTTCAAATCGATATAAGTTAAAGATGGCGCCACGAGTCAAAGTATGCAAATAGTAAATTCGAAACTCGATATGTATTCTTTATTCTTATTCATAGTGTGGAATCTTCAAGTTTTGCTTCTTTGCCTACACAGAGAAGGTCATTTAGAATGAAGAAAGACCTTCTGATAGGATGGAAGTGGATACTTCAGTTAGAATAGACAAAGCGAAATGTAAACTCAGGCTAACATTTTTCCTAATTTAATATCTATTTGCTGATGTCAATTTTGTTGAAAAGGCAAAATTTATTCAAATTCCATTATTTCAATCGAAAAATGCAGAAAAAATTTAATTAAATTTCTGTTATTCTGGTCAATGATTTAAAAACATGTTAAGTTATTAATTTCTGATAGGAATTCAAGATCTGTCAATGTTTCTCAATCATCTCTGGCAAAACTCGTAATGTCTCTAACAAAAAATGATAAAAAATTATTTTTTTTCAACGATAATTGAGTTCAATTAGGTGTTTCAGAATTGTTAATTATTTAATAGCTATTCATAAAGGTAGGATGCGTTTCTTAATTAAACATTATTTTAACGTCAAAATACATGAATAGGATACTTTCATTGTAATTATCTTCATTTCGCCTACTCCACATAATTTTTGAAAACGTGCAATCTTGTTAATGCAATCTAATTTACCATTTACCTGTTCTACTGTTAATTTTTGAATTTTTATCATAAACAAACTCTATTTTTGATATATGCTTTAATTATAGCTTACCGTTAAGTGAATAAAAACAGAATATTGGATATTTGAAATAAAAATTCAACGTCTTCATTTAGTACTTGTCAATGTTCATGCAAATTTGGAGCAAACTTTATTATATCTCACTATAATATCTTAGGCTGTGTCGTTGCCTGAGAAATTTGGTTTCTACTTTACAAAACCATGATCCCAGCATCACATAGACCACTCCCAGGCACACAAAACCTCTACTTCTTGATCTAAAAGTTGGGATTACCCCCCTCCCCTCCCCATTTGCCTCCATTACTGATGCACACTAATCCTAATCCTTCAAAATTTGCATTTTATGAATCTCTCAACTGCCACTGCTTAACTTTAAATGGAAATCGCATTCTGTTTGTAAGGATACCGCTGTTTCACTATAATCATTCTTCCTATAAGCTTCTCGAAATCATTATTGTGCGATTTAAAGCAGACTTAACTGTCGATTTTATTATTATCACCTTAAAATTATATAGTGGGTTGTTCTGCAGTGAAGATTTTTCACGCAGTATTTATATGCAATTTTTAGTGAAATGAATAAAATAAATAACACAAAGATGATATCCCTCATAACCTTCTGTTTAATTGAAAAATTACTGTAATGCATGGAAGTAAAATCAATTTAAGTTACTATTTTTATGCCTTTGTTATTCTAAATTATTTAAGATTTATAAGTTTTCATTTAAAAACCATCTAATAATTATGAAGTACCAATAGCAAAATATTGCCCTAACGGAAGAATAGATTAAAACGAAATTATCGATTTCGTAACTGAAAATTTAAATTTATCTCAAATTTATTTTAAATTTTATCGTTACCAGTTCATAAAACTTACCTACTTAATTAAAATGTCTGAATTGCATAATAGTTAATAGGGATATTTTTGGAGTAAATCTAACCATAAAGATAAATACGTGTTATCATTGTAGGCCGGTCTTTGTGACTATTTTTGGAACCAAAAATAATAATTATAATAATTAATTTATTTGGCACGCAAATTTGTAGAGCTACTATATTACCATCAGATTGAGTTTGATTAGCAGTATTTAAAGAAGAAAAATGATTGCGGAGAAAGTATGAGTTTAATCAATGACATATCTGCAATTTCCGATTACTTACAAAATCCATCTCATCTATGACAGGTTAAAAACGAAAGCTGATGGAATTCATATACCAACATTTATCTTATCAACCATTAGAAAATAACAAATTAAAGCCGTCAGACTGGTTCTTATGGATTAAACTTTCTCCACCAATAAACACTGAGAAGAGTAGAATAGAAATTTACTGTTTATAGCATGAATAAAATTAATTTGTGAGTTAATGAGCCATAAAACTGGCCTGTTATGACGTTAGACTTTTGTTAAAATTGTGACACTATTCGACAACTTTGGATGAGCAGATATGTCATTCATTATGTGGCAATTATTGACCCCTTATATTGTACTTTAATATTTCAAGTGAATAGATCGGAGCCTTTTGAAGTGATTTGTATACCTAAACTTAATTATCTGTCACATTTTGACCGCCTTGAGAATGCTGCCATGTTTGCGCTAATGATCACGCGTGCTTATCCTCACTCAGTAAGCTGTACAACACTACATCCTCCATTGAGGTGGTGAAATGGTTATTCTGTGAACAAAAATGAACTAACAAGTCGAGACGCTCAATATACAGCAGTAACGTTGTAACAGAGTATGATACTTGAATGTAATAAAGGCGCCTTAACCCCTGTCCTATTTCACATATGCATTTGCCTCAATAGAAAGACTATCTCATTAATACTATAAGAATGTACACCAGTTATATTCACTCACAGCAAATCGATAATGTTACTTCAGCATGAATATTTAGTTAAATCTTGCCATTTACACTTATTTGGATAGGAGAACAAAACTTTAATGCAATCAGCTATAACGTACAACGTCTGTCAAAATTGCAGCCAAATTTCCAGCAAAATATGGAAAAAACTGAAACATTTTTATTTAAGAGAAATAATGCATGCATGCTTGGTATTTTCAATTCGATTTGCATTCAGCGTTACATACTCCTAAACTTATTACCTTAATTTAGTAAATTCCAATTCAACTTGGAAAAATTTTTCAACTATGTATTACCTATCGAATTTTGAAATGAACTTCTTCTTTGGTTCGCATTGAACATCCATCCGATTTTTTCAAACGTCCAGTCAAGTGAGTTTGAATGATGAAGAGGCATTCAACTATGCCACCTATATTCGAAGGTTTATTGCATTGTCCGAAGTGGTCTCGTGAGACCGCTTTCAGACTGCTTTTTGGCGAGTGAATTCTCCCATTTTAGGAAAGCACTTATCTAATTTTAATACTCACATTACTAAGAGATTCAGAGCA